CAGCCTTAAAAAAGGCATCGCGGAGACCTTCGGCGGCCGCCGCGCTCGCGACGCCGGCAGACAGCGGGCAACCCCGCGCGCCCGAGGCGATGCGCGGCCCAATGGCGTGCACGCGGCGCGAGATGCGCGACGAGGCGCGCCAGCGGCGGCGCCGCCACGTCGCGGGGCGCCCTTCACTCTTGCGCCGCGCTAGCCGGAGGCCGAGAGCCGTCTCGGCCACGACGACCGACGCCGGGGCCGCGGCGTCAAAGGCGCCAGAACTGCGAACAGAAATGACGAGGGCCTCCGACGGGAGGCGGAACAGAAATATGTGCGCCACGCGCGAACAGCAGCGCGAGGCGACGGCCCGCTCTGCCTTCCGTGGCCAGGGTGAGCACGCGCTCGATGAAGTCCCGCCGCGCGAATGTCTTTGGGCGCGGGGCGAAAGAAGTGCGCTTCGCGACCGCGTGCTTGATGCGCTTCACAAGCGACGCCTCGAGCGCCTCGGCAGCGAAGCCGACTGCAATCGAAACCGCGCGTAGGTGACACGCGCAGTTGGAGAACGCGTGCTCGGACCTGAACAGCCCCGAGAACGCGGCGAGCTCAACCCTGGACACTGGGAATTCTTTGCCCCCCAGGCCCCAGACCTTTGCGAATTTGAAATGCAAGCGAAGGGCGCTGCGCACGCCGCCGAGCGCTGCTGCTGTCAGCTCTGGAAGCCGAACCACCTTCGACAGTCGCGGGGCGGGCCGGGGGCGCCGCAGCGGCGCGCGGGGCCGCGTCGTGCCCGCGGCTGCGCGAGTGGCCGAACGAAGGGGGGCGGTTCGCCGCCACTTCTAGCCGAGTCGCCACTCGCCGATGCCGAGGCGACAGTGCGTCGAGGCCCGTCACGTCTGATTCTTCGGCGTCGCGAAGGTCCTCTCCTCCAGGCGCTGCGCGCCGGCCGCCAACAGCAACTCGCATGCGCCGATTAAGCGATGCAGCGCGGCGTCTGGTGCCGTCGCCCGCGCGACGGCGAAGAACTGCGCCCGTTGCGACATCTGCGGCGCGACGCCGACTGGCCCGAACTGCAGCGAGGCGCGGCCGCGCGCGCACGCGCCCTCGTTGCGACCCGGCGCGCGAACAACCACGTCGCGCATACGCCCCTACGCGCGGGCCCCCCCCTCGCGCGCCAGCAGGCGCTGGTCTGCGCGCCGGCGCGCCTCGGCCCGACGCAGCGCGCGCGGACAACGCTGCCCCTCCCCGAACTAGCGCCGGCGCGCGCCCGAAGCGGCCGTCGCGGCCCGCGACCCCTATAAGGGCTGGCGTCGAAGAAAGACGGGTCGAGGGCCGCCCGAATTTCCCGCGCGCGCAGGGCTGCCACGAGCTGGGAACATTCCCTACTCGGAGGATCCGCCACGGCGCTCGGGACGCGGCGCACGTGCAAATTCAAGCGCAAGCGAAAAGCCGCGGCCCAAATGCAATGGATCACGCTGTTGTGATCGAGCGCGGAAGCCCGGCCCTTGCGCGCGGCGCCCTCGGCGCGCGCATTGCCAGAACGCGCGCGCACCCTGCGCCCCCCAAGCAGCCGCGCGCAGCGCGCGATGCCGAGGGCCGAGGACTTAATCTCCAGGCTGGAGATCCGGCGATCCCTGCGCGCTTGAAGCGCGCGCATCAGATCGCGGCTGACTGCCGCGCGGCAGGAGAAAGCGCTGCCGTCGATGGAAAATACCACGGCGATGCGCGGGGGCTCGCCCCGGGCATCGCCGACGGGGGCCGCCGACCGCGCCCCCGGCGGGCGCCGCGCGCTTCTCGATGACGGCGCGCAGGAGAACGCGGCGCCACCGCGCGCACGCTCTCCGCGCTTCGTCCGACAGCCGCCAGCCGTGGACGCCCTTCTGGGAGAGGGCGACGAATGGTGACACCATGGCGCGTCCCAGGTCTGCCAAACAGATTGCTGGACGCCCACGTGAGCGCGCCCGCGAGCTTGCTGGCTGCACCGTGGGACAGATGACCCCCGCCGAGGGCCTCGCCGAGACGCGCGCGCCACTTCTCCCTCTGTTCGGGCAGAGGGGCGCACGTCATGCCCGACGGATCTAACGAGGCGCTGAGTCCCAGCGCCGGGAGTGGACTGCCGCACTCCAATTTCGCCTCGGCGACTGCACTCTCGCCGAGAAGGATGCGCACGAGCCGCGCGAACGAAAGCATCGCGCGCCGCGCGCACTCCTAGAGCTCGGGAATGAAATAATCGCCAACATACCAGAGGGTCAGGATGCACAAGAGGCGGTGCGCCACGAAAGCGAGGAACTGGCCGACCCAGTCCCGTCCGTGGGCCGAACCCTCGCCACCGAACGGGATGGCGCGGCGGCGCGCCACGAGTGCACCGTCGCGGCGCGGAAAAACGATCCACGCCGCCCACCGGTCGCACGGGGCCAGTGGGATGCGCCGGTACGCCGCATCGATGTCGGCTTGAAATAGCGCCGGCACTCGGCCCGACGCCCGGTGAAAGAGCTGCCAGGACTGCGAAGGGGTAATCGAGCCCTTCGGTGCGCAGCTCTTCCGCAGGACGGCGCGTCGCATTGATGCCGCTCCTGGACAGGTCGCCCGCAAGGCGTAGCTTGGTCTTGCCCCCAGGGCGCCGTTGCTCGACAGCGAAGCGCGGGGGCAAGATGGCGCGCAAGTGATCGATGCTGCTCACCGATGCTGGCGCCGAGATGCGCCCCATGCGCGACTCAGCCAACATCTGCTCCAAAAATTGCATCGGCGCACGCGTCGGGTTTGAGAGACGCGAGCAGCTCGGTGTTGCGATCCAGCGCCGATCCCAGAAGCGCGCTCGCGTCCTCATACCCTTTCCTTTCTTCTTAAGCGGAATCGCGCGCCCGTGCCCAGGCGCGGGCAGGTCGCCCGAAATCCGCGCCCCCTCGCAAAACAATTTGACGCACTCGGGGTCGAGATGCTGCAGCTCGGAGGCGAGAGCCTCGCACATTTAATGGGTCGTTGACCGCGGCGGCGACGCGCCGCGCGGCGTCTTCGGCCCACCCGAACCAAGTCTCGGCGCGGCCCGAGGCCGCCAGTTGCGGAGCTCGGCGCGCGAGCTGGTCCAGCATGCGCCCCCGCTCGCGCGCATTGACGGGCGGCGGCGCCGCGGCTGGCCACGCGGCGGCCGCGCGAATGGACGCGTCGAGCATAGCGGGCTTCTCAGAGTGGCATCGCGCGCGGAATCGCAACAAATGCCGACCGCATCGCGGGTGAAATCAAATCTGGCGCTTTCCCCCGAGCGCCGCGGCCGCTGCCCTGCGGCTCGCGAGAGGGCGCCATTCCCACGCTGCGCATCGCGCGGCTCTCCCCGGCGCCCGGGCGGTTCGCCGCGACCATCGACGCGCCGAAAGCGCCGCGAGCGCCGGCGCCGCCAGCGCGGGGGGGCCCGCGCAAACAGCCGCGTCCTGCGAGCGGGCAACGATGCGAAGG